GTTAGAAACGATGTTAATTTCAAACTGACAATTGTCTTGATCTGACAAATCATGGAGCATATATTTGCCTTTTGTGGTATATCAATTTAGTCACAATTTATTATTGTTTATTATGCGAATAAATATTATTATTATATACCAGGAGAAACTACGGCCATTCTGTTTGTGCAGTGGAAACAAGACTGCCGATCGCATTGTGAACAAAATTAAGTCGTGCGACTTTAGGTCCAACCCAGATATCAATTTTTTTCATCAACCAATTTCTAAATTCATTTTAGAATCAATTTAAAATTCTCGAATACTAGTTAACAATGCCAAGGCACACCTCAAACTGACGCACGTCCTTCTCTTTGCTCTCCGTTCTTCCTTGCCATAGGTTATTAGCTACACTATTCCTTCCTATCTCTCTTCTTCCCTTGTTTCTCCCAGACTTTGTCTGGTAACTGAGCAACCAGACCTGAAAGATCTACTGACTTACGATACTTTAACAGAGCACAGGTTCTACGTATACAGTCGGGTCTGGCAGTCAATCAAAATGTTTAAAACAAGTGTTTTAATCACTATTTAAAACAATGAAGGTGTTTTAAACCAATTTGTTATAAACTTTTTAAAACATGTTTTAAACACTGTTTTTTTTGGTTTGTGAATTATTGTTTTTTTTTTTATATTTTTTTAAGTATGATTAAAATTGATTTCATTTTATTATTATTATTATTATTATTATTATCATTATGATAATTGAGATGAGCAGAGTACACAGTACTATAAGCTCATGCAGTAAATATAGTGTACGGACACGTAACACAAATACATCAAATAGAAAAAAATAAAAAAAGACAGTTCATAGCTATAAAGTTTGTACACTCCTCCAGCTATCATACTGCACTTTGAAGCTATTAACTGAAGTAGCACCAACCACACTTTCAGGTAAACTATTCCAGGTGTTGAATATGCGGTTGGGAAGAAACCACTGTCGGACTGTTGTTTTAAATGGCTCCTTATGCAGTTTGAAGCTGTGCCCACGTAGATTGCTGCTTGACAGACGGTATAGATGCATGAGGTTGGTGCCCATCAAACCATGAAGTATCCTGAACGTAACTATAAGATCGCCACGAAGTCTTCGCTCAGAGAATGAGGTCAGGTTGAATAATTCAAGGCGATCTTCATAGCTTGGTCTTCGTGCTCCAAAAGGGATACGAGTAGCCCGACGCTGTACTGATTCGACGAGATTTCTATCGCGCAGAAGCACAATGTCGCATACCGGGCCAGCGAATTCAAGAATTGGCCTCACGAATGCCTTGTAAATGTAGGCGCAAGTGTTGACATCGGATCCTTTGAAAGACCTCTCCAGCATGTATAGAAGATTCTTGGCTTTTGATGTAACTTGGTGAATATGCTCTGACCAGAAAAGACGATCGTTGACTACAACGCCCAGATCAGTGTGGCTGGAAACTGCTTCGATGTTGTGGTCAGAGATCTTGTATGTAAATCGCGGATTTGTCTTCCCGAGGTGAAGGACACAACACTTAGTTAGATTTAAGGGTAACAGCCAACTGACTGACCATTGACAAACAATATCAAGATCTCGTTGAAGCATAGCAGAATTTACGACAGTATTGTAAATCTTGGTGTCGTCGGCATAAGCTGAACATGTGGAGGAAATCAATGCGGGCAGGTCACTTGTATACAGAAGGAACAGCACTGGCCCCAAGACAGAGCCTTGAGGAACTCCACTTGCTACATGATGAAGGTGAGACTGGCTATCACTGATGCGCACAGAGAAAGTCCTCCCGGTGAGAAAAGCCTTAATCCACAGCAACAACTCGCCTCTTATTCCCATACATTCCAACTTAAACAGAAGCCTTCTATGTGGTACGCGATCAAAAGCCCTAGAAAAATCTAAGTAGATTATATCAACAGGAGTCTTAGTGTCCAGATACTGAGTCCAATCGTTGAGAGAGTGGAGAAGGTTGGTCATTATTGATCGACCAGGGAGAAATCCATGCTGATTCTTAGGGATAAGGCCATTTTCTAAAGCAAATGACAGGAGCTTATCTAATATGATTCTGTCAGCTATTTTGGCGGCGATAGGAACGAGACTTATTGGTCGATAATTTTTAGCGGAGGATTTGTCGCCCTTGCAAAACGAAACTAAAAGGGCCATATGTTAAAACACATAGGTACTAAAAAATATACTTTATTTTTTATTAATTCATCAGATATGAAACTAAGGAACTAATACTAGTGGAAAAAAATATGTTTCTTAACTTAAGAGTGAACTTAATAAACTTCATTGAACTCTAATACTCGTACACTACAAGCAGCAGAATAATCATATAATATGACTATTAATTTTTCTTGTATAATAACATTAAATAAGTTACTTAACAAATTTCTATAAAAGTATACAACCCATCTTAACAAAAAATCCTTAAATCCATGTTTCTGAAATATAAAATCATGGAAAATGTACATAGAATAAATTTTTAGTTTTCACTACTTTTTACGGAACTTCAAGTAAAAAAATGTACCTTTCCACAATTCTCCAAGCTACTCAACTATGAGGAAATAGGTTCGGTAGAAGCAGCATCATTGTCGGTATCAGAACTATCTGATATATGAATATTTTTTTTTCTAACAAACTGCCTTGTTTAAATTGTTTAGAATTTTTTAAAAGGTTGCGCGTTCTAGCCACCAGTTGCACTATATCCACATTGCAGGTTAAACATTTTGCTCTTATTTATTTTCAAGCCAGCTTTGTCATCAGTTCCTTAAAATATTTCCACACGGGATCCTTTCTCCTCCCTGTCATTGCCTTTCTTTTTTTTGCCGATCTTTAATACACAAAAAACAAAACACACCACCACGCTCTACGACTTCGCACATTTGACTGCTGTAGATCGCAACGCGAAAAATTATTTAAATGCAAATAGTAGGTAAATAAAAAAAAAAACAGTTTCAAACAAAAAAAACTTGATTTTTGTTTAAAAATACATGTATTTTTCAATCCTGTGAGGAATAGATCTTGACACTGGGAGTACCAGCGGTGCTTTGGCAGGGTTGCCATTTTGGGAAATCTTTCCCAAATTTAGAGGATTTATACTTAGACAATTTTTTAGAATGTTATGTTCTCGGGAAATCTCGTGTCGCGGATAGAGAGCATTAAAGCATGTCTCTTTAAAGCAAACCTACCCCTTTCCATTAATTAACTGTGATTTGGGGGAAAAAGTAGCAGTTCTCATAGATTTTTGTTTGGGGGAAATTCTGTCCGACCCATCTGGCAACGCTGTGCTTTTTTTCTTTATATCGAAGCATCCGCGCAGGCAGAAGCCTAAATGCCGGAACACCGCGGCTGCTATGATGATCCCAAAGAAATTTTGTTAATACGATTTTTGAACTGCCTAAGGTTAGTAGAACTGGGAAAAGCTTCATCTTGTATATATATATGTTATATATACAGGGTGACTTCGAAGTTGAGTCATTTATTTTAACAGTGAGTAGATCTGATCAAAAGAAATGTTTTTTACTTTACCATTTTTCTGGTAAAATTAAAGTAACAAAGTTATAGCCCTTTAGAAGTTTGAGTACCGCCCTGTCTCAATAATAATATTATGTGCTCGTGTTTGGCAACAAAGGATATAATCCGACTTATCGGTTCATCGCATCTTAAACAAAAAGCGTAAGAATTTGGAACGATGTTTTTACAATTATTTTATTCAGTTGTATACAGTCAGTGTCAGTCGGTAACGCGTGAGTGAATAGTGGTGTCTGTTGCGTGGCTCAAACGAAATAAAAAATGGCACATGTTTATGCGGATCGGTTTCCCAATCGAGTGCAACCAACCCCTCGTGCCTTTGTTAATGTAGTACAACGGGCTCGTGAATCAGGTGACTTAAGACCTCACAGGGGACGGCATGCCGGTGCTCCAAGACCTCACGATCAAATACAGGTCCGCACTGAAATACTTGTCGGGAGGATACTTTATAAAACAAGGTAAAATTTTTTTTTTATTTTTACACACATATTTTGGTTTATCTTCCTTCTACAATCATATACAGGGTGACTTTGAAGTTGAGTCATTCATTTTCAGATAATGATTGTAGAAGGAAGATAAACCAAAATATGTGTGTAAAAATAAAAAATTAAAAAAAAACTTTACCTTGTTTTATAATGTATCCTCCCGACAAGTATTTCAGTGTGGACCTGTATTTGATCGTGAGGTCTTGGAGCACCGGCATGCCGTCCCCTGTGAGGTCTTAGTCACCTGATTCACGAGCCCGTTGTCCTACATTAACAAAGGCACGAGGGGTTGCTTGCACTCGATTGGGAAACCGATCCGCATAAACATGTGCCATTTTTTATTTCGTTTGAGTCACGCAACAGACACCACTATTCACTCACGCGTTACCGACTGACACTGACTGTATACAACTGAATAAAATAATTGTAAAAACATCGTTCCAAATTCTTTCGCTTTTTTGTTTCCGATGCGAATTATATCCGTTGTTGCCAAACACGAGCACATGATATTATTATTGAGACAGGGTGGTACTCAAACTTCCAAAGGGCTATAACTTTGTTACTTTAATTTTACCAGAAAAATGGATTTCTTTTGATCAGATCTACTCACTGTTAAAATAAATGAATCAACTTCGAAGTCACCCTGTATATATATATATATATATATATATATAGATTATATCAGGTTTGCATTTGCCTGGAATTTTATTTTTGTGATTCTTGTCATCATTTGTTACTGTGATGTGACTTTTTTAGACTTATTTGATTATGAGACGTCTGTTGGCAAAATGTGGTCAAGAACTGTGAAAAAGTGAGTATTTTTCATCTGCTCTTTTGTCGAACACCGAAAGAACCTGTCACATGGTCTTAGCTTCGCGATGTTTTGTCGACTGTTTTCGTCGACATTTTTATGTGGATTGCGAGATTCAAGAAGGCAGGTTATGAGTTTCGTGCGACATTTTCGCTATCTCATGACATAGGTCGTGGAGCATTTTGGCGGGAAATTCTTCTCCTGCAATCTCGGCAACGCCGCCCTCCCAACACTTCCCCTCCCACGCCGTCTCCCGTCCTTCATTTGTTTGGCGCGAACTGCTGTTGGGCTGCTGAAGTCGCGATCGCGCGTCGAAGGTCGAGGACTACTGGAGGTTGAAGGAGGAAAAATCGCGCGATTCAGGTGTTTTGAGTGCGGTTTTCTGACGGGCGTTGCAGCAAGAGCATCAAGGGTGGCGGCGCAACAAACGCTTTCCGTCCGGCCGTCCAAGGCTAACATGACGTTGCCCGTGGTGAGTTGCAGGGCACGATGCTCCGTTTAGGGTTAGGGGTGCATGGCTGTGTGATGGTTGTAGGTTAGTGAATAAAGGTCATGATCAAAGCAGGGTTTCCTTGGATCGTGGCGGGGGTTTTATGGCTGCGATTAGGGTTGTTGCGCTGGATTTATTATGTTTGTCGAGGGGTGCAGCGATAGATTCCATGAACACATACAGTGGGCCAAAAAAAGTATTGGCACACCCTATTTTTTTTTTCTTGAATCCCAATTAAATTTATTTGAAAACTAACAACCAAATATTCACTTTTGATGGTAATAGATTGAGGAAATTGAAAATAATTTAAGAATGTTAACAGGGATTATGAAATTTAAAGGTAAAAAAAGTAATGGAAAATTGAAAAAACAAACAAGTAGATAAGTGTAAAATTAAGTTACAGTTGGTACTTTATCATACTCTGCATGAATTATAGCCTGAAGCCATCGTAGCATGGAGATTTTTAGTTATTTTTGTTGTCTTGCGTTGCGTAGGAGCATTTATTTATTTATTAGTCATATTATACAGGGTGACGGGAAAATAGATGCGGAGCCGGTGGGGAGAGATAGTACAAGCCAGTCCGAGTCGATTTTACTATAGGAACTACTGTCCGAAGATTAGTCGTTTTCGAATTATACTAATTTTTAAGATTTTATAAAATTAACGTCCTTTATACGTTAAGCAAGTCATAAAACTTGCAAATTGGGTGTTCCATTTGATTTTTTTTTTTGGTTTTACAATAAAAATACTCTATAATACGAAAATTGATACTCAAATGAACATTATTGACGTTATCTGATGCAGTAAGCTTCAAAATTTTAAAAAAAAATCTTCGTACATTTCAAACGCTTCAGTTTACTAGAAAAAGGCGCATACAAATTTTTCGTACAAAATAATTAGAAAACATCTACGTTTCATTACTTTTCAAATGAGGTGTAAAAATCTCAAATCGATTAAGAATTGGCAAAAATCTGACTATTAAAAGAGGAGAAAGGAAAAAGCAATAAAAATACTACATTTACAAAATTTCACCTTAATACAGGATAATTTGTATGAAACTACATTTTTTTGTTTTTATAATACATTTTAAATTAGGCGCCCTCTATTTATAATGCATACATGACAGCTGATTTTACTACCGCCGAATTCCTAAGAGAGGCTTGCATTTCTTGTGCTGCATGTATTATCCTGTTTCTGAGGTCTTCTATTGTGGGTACATGATTTTGATCAGAGTATACTAAAGTTTTCATGCGACCCCACACAAAAAAGTCCATAGGTGTGAGATCGGGACTGCGTGCTGGCCAGGGGATTGGTCCGCCTCTACCGATCCATCGATTCGGAAACTGCTCATTTAACCAATTTCTAACACTTAGTCTGAAATGTGCTGGGCATCCGTCATGCTGAAAAATCATTTTGTGTTTTGTGTGTAGCGGCACGTCTTCAAGTAATTCAAATAGAACATTTCTTAAGAAATTTTCGTAGGCTCCTCCATTTAAGTTGCCGGGTAGGAAATGTGGTCCTACCAAACATTTATTTATAATGCCCATCCAGACATTCAGACAAAATCGCCTTTGTGATCCTTTTGGTCTCTTCAAATGAGAATTTCCCACTGCACGTTCACGCCAATAGAGGGCTTTATGGTAGTTTGTTATGCCGTCTTTTTCAAATTTTGATTCGTCGGTCCATAGAATTTTTCTTAAATAACTGCTATCTTCAACATCAGCGCTTAAAATAAAACGATAAAATTGCATGCGCCTCATGGGATCTCCTTCTTCTATGACGTGCACAGGTGTGTAGTGGTACTCGTAAGAGTGGAATATGTTTTCATGCAATTGGGATAATCCAAGCCGTCGAGCCACAGCGCGAGTAGAGTAGGGTCTCAACTTCCAAATCATGTCGAGGTCTACCTGCATCACCTGAAATGAAATGAAAAAACAAATAACAGTTTTTTGGAGGAAATTGTTACCTAATAAACATAGCGGTAAGACTATGAGCTAGAGTTGGCAAAATATTATTTAGAAAAAACGATACACAACGTGTGGATGTTTCCATCTTCAGAGCCGTGTAGATGCTCGTGTTAAAATTAAATTAATAAACTCTTAATTAACAAGTTCAATCAACTGTATCAAAACAACTATGTTACAGTATCATCAGTTCAGCCCACAGACCTCCAAGGCTCTACATAGGCCTTACTGAATGACTGATTATGATAAGTTAATAATCATCAATGATGCAAACTTACATTGATATCTTACGACGGTACCGCGCTCTCGAACCCCATGGAACGTTTGCCTAAATACGCGGGCGTCAGGTACGCAACGATTAGGAAACATTTCCCCATACCCACGACGAGCTTCTTCAGCATCGCCTCTGGCAACTCCATGTAGAAAAGGATATCGGCAAATTCTTCCAAACTGAACGGCCGCCTCCTTTGTTCATCAGCCATTTTTCATCGATAGTTAGATCAACGAACAATCAAGTCACACAGCAGCCAAGTCGTAAGGAATCTCAGAAAACAGGGTACGGTCTAGTTCGTCAGGAAAAGAATCACACACGGAAGTCCAACAAGAGCCAAGTCGTTAGGAATATCAAAACAGCGAGCAAACAGACACATCCGAACGCAACAAATCGCAAAAACAGATTGAAGCCAGCGAGGGAGGGGGGTGACTAGTCTTACTTATCACACTATTCCGGTGTTTGAGGCTCTACCTGTTTCTTTCACTCATATCTTTGTCATTTCTAAACCGGTTTGTGTCCTCATTTGAAAGGTAATGAAATGTAGATATTTTAAAATTGTTTTCCTCGAAAAATTTGTAGGTGATTGTTTCTAGTAAATTGAGTTTTTGAGATGAACAAAGATTTTTTTAAAAAAAATCTAACTATTTTGAAGCTTACTGCATGAGATAACGTCAATAATGTACATTTGAGTATCAATTTTCGTATTTTAGAATATTTTTATTGTAAAACAAAAAAAATCAAATGAAACACCCATTTTTCAAGTTTTATGACTTGGTTAACGTATAAAGGACGTAAATTTTATAAAATCTTAAAAATTAGTATAATTCGAAAACGGCTAATTTCACTGGACAACAAATTTTAGTTTTTTAATTATATCTTGTGGGAAAAGTGCACTTCTTTGTTAATTTTGGGGCGCTGAATCCAAAAATGACAATGAAATAAAAAAATTAGTTGCGGTTTAGAAAAAAAACTTTTTATTTTTAAGGATATATTAAAAAAAGTAACAAGATTCATATACTTATAAGAATCACTATATGCGCTGTCTTTTTGCTGTTCTTTTATGGATCGTTTTTGGAGCATCTCTACCAAGAGTCCAACAGTAGTCTGCAAGCATGGAAGGATTCCACTTTCCCTGGTACCTTTTTTCCATTGTTGAAATATCCTGATGAAAACGTTCGCCGTGCTCATCACTTACGGCTGCGCAATTGTCAGGAAAAAAGTCCAGGTGTGAGTGTAGGAAATGTATCTTAAGAGACATATTACAGCCCATCTTTTGATACGATGACAGCTTATTTTTGACAAGGGTTTTATAGTTGTCAGCTTTTCTATTTCCCAAGAAATTAGTGACCACCAGACGGAAATCATTCCAAGCAGTTTTTTCAATACCTGTTAAAGTGTTTTCAAACTGTGTATCTTTCAAAATATTTCGAATATGTGGCCCAACAAAAATACCTTCTTTAACCTTTGCCTAACTTAGTCTTGGAAATTTCTGACGCAGGTATTGAAAAGCTGACCCATCTCTATCTAATGCCTTGACAAAGTTTTTCATTAGGCATAACTTGATATGCAGTGGTGGTAATAAAATTTTTTTCGAATCTACTAATGGCATATGCTGTACATTTTTTTGACCTGGCTCTAGGAATTGACGAACAGGCCAGTTTTGTCTGGTGTAATGAAGTGCCTTTGCCCGACTGTCCCATTCACACAAAAAACAGCAAAACTTCGTGTAGCCTAGCTGCAGCCCAAGTAAAAGTGCAACAACCTTCAAATCGCCACAAATATGCCATTGGTGCTCATCGTATTTTATGCATGTCAATAGGTACTTCATATTGTCATATGATTCTTTCATGTGAACTGCATACCCTACAGGAAGAGATGGTAAAATATTTCCAATATGCAATAACACTGCCTTTAAACTCAATGTTGAACTGTCTATAAACAATCTCCATTCTTCTGGGTTATAGTTTATATTTAAAGCCGCCAGTAAGCCGTTAATGTTACTGCAGAAAACCAAGTTATTCTCCATATTGAAAAATGGTTCTAAGTCTTTGTGGCGTTTACGAAAAACACATATTGAAACATCGTCTTCTAACAAGTTCCACTGCTGCAGTCTTGCTCCAAGTAACTCTGCCTTACATTTTGGAAGTTCTAAATCTCTTACAAGATCATTTAATTCTGACTGTGTTATTTTGTGCGGTTGGTGGCATGACGTGCTCGGTATAAAAGCAGGATCTCTTGACGTTGATGGCATATCTTCTTCCTGACGAATCACTCGATCGCCATGATCTGATTCATTTTCTGATTCGCAAGTGTATGATTCTGGGGGTTTTGGAATAGGATTTTCGTCACTGTGAGGCACAGGTCTCATCGCAGATGCTATGTTTGGGTAGTTAATAACCGATTTTTTTTCTTGGACATACCTGTGGCTTGTCCAACACAAGGTACCATGCAAAAGTAACAATCATTAATATGATTTGTAGGCTCTCTCCAAACCATTGGGACAGCAAAGCGCATAGACCGTTTTTTGCCATTTAACCAGCTCCTCAGACTTGAAGCACATGTATTACAGCAGATGTGGGGTGCCCACTGTTTGTCTTGATCACCTAGTTTACAACCGAAATAAAGCTGATATGCCTTTGTTATTAGTGGAGTAATAGACCGTCTCTGAGACGCAAAAGTCACATCACCACACACGTAACAAAGCTGATCTGGATTGTTTACACACTTTCGAGACATCTTGCATGAACGCTGTCAGCCAACTGAGGAAAAAATGGCTAATATAAAACAATATAATGTACACGTATGTATAACGTAACACAATCATGCCGATTACATCATCTTTCCTTGCCGAATATAAAAATGTAGCACGTGCATTCTTGTGAATTACAGTATATTAACACTGTCACAGCAGGAACACATATAATTACCGTATCTCTAAAACTGGAACTAATATTGAAAAAATAAGTTTCATTCCGGTTTTAGCACATTAAAGATAGTAATATTTTGTTGATTTTGTTTAGGATATTTTTTGGCTGTTGATCAGTGTTTTCGGACAGTAGTTCCTATAGTAAAATCGACTCAGATTGGCTTGTACCATCTTTCCTCACCGGCTCCGCATCTATTTTCCCGTCACCCTGTATATATATAATATACAGTGTGTAAACGTTATGATAGTCATTATTTAAATGGGTGATAGAGGGGCTTAAAAGAAGCAAAAAGTTTCATATAACATGGGGGTCAAAACGGCATTTTTTTTTTGAGAAAAGCGACTTTACAGTAAAATAAAATCTGACAACGCCGCGATGCCAGACGCAAATTACGACGGAACGCAGATTGAGTTTGTTATTTTTGGCTCTTAGGTATTATTTCATTATTTGATAATGTACTCGTAAAATGCAAACAATTAAAAAAAACGGACTTACCACTAACTGTCTCAGCGCTTCGCCTGGTGTGTGAAAGTTTGTTGAACATATTAAAAAAATCCCCTTATAAATAGGAAACACAATTTTGATACATACATTGTTTTTCTTTTTGAAACCCACACTGCACTTTTTTGTATTTAACCCTTTCGTCCTGAATTTAAATACCTTAGTCCGAATAATAAATAGTGTAAAGTATTATTGTTAGGATGTCTAACAATGAGTTTTTGTTAATATATATTTTTTGCATTGGTCAGGTAACGGTGGAGGGGGTGGTTCATATATGTACCAGCAGGCATTTATGGTGGTACACATGCTTACCAACAGGTATGATCGGAAAATTCATAAAAACAGAAAAAACAATGGTATAAGAATATTTGTTTAGAAAAAAATACAAAAACAGCTTTGCAAAGAAGAAAATGAACCTAAATAACTATTTGGTATGATACAACACAAAACAGAACTTGCACAATGGAATATTGTACTCCTGGCAAAGACTTTTTGTTCTTGTTTGTTTTTTCTCTTCAGAACATCTAATGCACCTTCTTCTTGTTGATCCCTCCACAGGAAGATGTAATGCTGAAGCACCATATAATTTTCTTTTTCTTGAAGGGGCGCCTTCTTTTGGTAATGGTAAGCTTGTATTTTGTATACCTTCAGATATTAATTCTTCTGCAAGTGTGGTGAGGAAAGAAAGAAAAGAAATGTTCTCATTTTTACGTCTCATTTGATTATACATGATCCAAGAATTTACTGCACACATATTGAGCAATGTGTAGAACACCTTTTTCCACCACTTTGCTGATTTTCGGTCATGATCATATAGCCCAATGAACTGATCTGCCCTATCAACCCCTTGCATTTTTTTCTGTAAAAAGATATGGCCTCTGGACATTGGATATTTTGTTGTTCACCGGTTTTGCTTTTTTTGATAATTGTTGTCAAATTGGGCTTATGACAGTTACTCATCAGCAAAACTTCCTTTGTGTCCTGCCACTTTACACAAAGTAATCCCGAAGAAGTGCATTTGAATTGAGATTCCCCTTTTTGCAGTTTGTCTCCCATAGTTGATACGTTCTTGCGATTGGACATGCAAGTTCCCAAGGCTGCATAGTCTGGTGTAAGTAATAAATTCACACTTGTAAAAAAGCGATCAAAACATAACACTACATTATTTTCTTTGACTGTAGACGCAAGGGCTGTTACGACTCGCTCTCCCAGAGTCAGTGATTGATTTTTGGCGGGAATTGGGTCCTCTTTTCCAGAATATACATTAACATCATACGTATAGCCCGAATCTGCATCGCAGCGAAGCCATAGTTTTATGCCCCTCTTGGTTGGTTTGAGGGGCATATATTGTTTCAAAGAAGATGGATCCTTGAATTTGGTCATAGATTCGTCAATACTTTGATACTGGCTATCCTGGCGACACTTTGAAAACGTGTATTTGAAACGAGATAACAAATCTTCATTATAATATGTTTTGCATTTGGGGGTTTCTGAGGAAAAGCAAAGTACATTTTTGAGCTCAAAGTCATGCATCGATCTCTTGAAAAAGTTTTTTGAATTGTGCTATTTCCCATTGACTACTTTTTACTTCAATAATTTTTCAGGCTTGGAAGGCGATTGTAGCACATAATGAACCTGCAGCCAATTAACTTCTGTATTTCTCCTTTGTCAGTCATGTTCTCATTCCTCCTTTTTAATTGGTTTAGGATTTTTAGGCGTTCATTTGTACAATTTGCAATGCGCAAATGAAGAGAATGAGGAAATACTTTATGAAAAATCTGCATAGGTGTCAACTGCTTGGTGATATCTGGTGCCAACTTACATTCTCTTTCGGGAGGAAGGATTTTAGCAGGCGCAAATGTTTCATCAGGAATGACCCAGTCAAGAACTTGGTTTCTACCAACAGTTACCTGTGGTGAAGGCGCAAAATCGATGTCTGAGTTAGACATATCGGACGTATCACTGCCTGCTTCTTCATCGGAATCTGGTTCATAATTGTCACTGGAGTCAGCAGAAAATGGTTCCGAATCTGAGATTTCTTCAATATCTTCAATAAGCGCTTCCAGCTCTTTTTGTGAAAGCGGACGGCGGCGATCCATATTGAAGCTGAAACTGAATAAACGTAATTAGAGACCTGTTGGTATACATGTGTTCCACCATAAATACCGGCTGGTACATATATGTACCACATGAATATTACACGCAAGAACACAAAAATTAAACATAGTTTTGGCCTACCTTTGTAAAAACACTAATTACAGTTGAATAGCAAATAGAACTTCATCAAAAAACTGCATAAATAAGCACTTTGAGTGTCCTAAATAACTAATTTTATTAGAGTAATGCTGCCGCTACTACATACACGTGCTAACTAAATCGACATAACCACAAAATATCCACAATGCATGTTGTAGGTACACTGCGGAAGCCTGATGCACCGGACCGGTACAGATTTATACCAAATAAAATGCTTCATTTCACAAGCAGGGATTTTTAAAATTGCCTGGTACATATGTGTACCATTCGGGACGAAAGGCTTAAAGAAGGTGTTCAAAATGTCGTCCTCCACTTTCCACACAAGCTTCATTACGGTCTTCACGAAAAGTATGAGGTTTTTCTTGAGCCCACGTGTGTGTATTATGGAAATTTAATATCCCGTCTCGCGTAAATGTACATTCGTCCGTCGCTAGAATGTTTTTAAAAAAATCCGGATTTTCAATTTTTTGTGCAAAAACCACTGACAGAATGTTAGTCTGCGTAGGATTCTGTGGACTATGGTATGCGATAGTCCTACGCGGCGGCCTAATTCCCGAGTGCTGATATCTGCATTGATTTCCACGATATTTAAAATTCGTTCCTCCTGCTCTACAGTAACCTGTTTTTCACGAGTGCGAATATTAGTGGGCTGAACACTGCCTGTATCTCGAAGTCTTTGGTACACTTGCTCAAATGTCCTTCTGTCTGGGTGTACCCGTTGGCGAAATCTGTCGCAATAAATTTGAGCTGCAAGATTTGAATTCTGACGAGCTTCACCATAAACTAACAACATGTCGGCGAACTCTTGATTCGAGAACATTGTAAATCAAAACGACGACGTACGCGAACAAAAACAAAACAACATACTAACCACTGTTACCGATTGCGATCGATTGCCGGTTCGATAAGAGTGATGATGACCGACGCGCTGTTGTCATGTGTGTTTTAAATATTCAATTTAATGTAATATTTACTTACTGACTACAAATTTTGGCTTAACTTAGACAGGTTTAATGCCATTTATTTGTTAATTACCTACCCAATTTAAAAACGTTTTAGATTAGATTATAAAAATTAGTAAGATTATGGTCGATATAAAGCACTTAAAGTTGTAAATTTAGACAAAAATCTATTGACTTTTGGACCATGGGTCATGTGAACTTTTTGACTTGTTTTGACCCTATTACCTATTTCAATAATGACTATCATAACATTTACACCCTGTATATCCTTGCTGTATGGAAGACTTCAAAGTTTTTGTTTGTATTTTAAATAATCTTGCAGCAAATACATTTTGTCGTGCTTTTTTTGAATTCATATGCCTCCAAAGCTCCTCTCGCACATGGTACCTGTGCTGTATTAGACTGACACCACTTTTCAAAACCGGTAAGTCCAGGCGAGACATGAAAGGGCAAATATTCCATGTTAAAGTCTTGAGGTAAACATGGCGGAAATCAGCCGCACCTCGCGCGCGTGTAAAGTGTAATTAACCCTGCAGTTGTAACTTTAAATCGTTACCCTATAAAGGGGCATCAAAAGGCAGGGCTGACCACTAGCCCTTTGCATGCTTAGCGCGCCCTTTGTGCAGGCATTTGCTTGGCTCATTTAGTAATCTGGCAGCGAGGCGTTTTTGTACGGGCCGCCAAACACAGAGGCCTTGGATGCCCTTTCCAGAAGGTCGCTGCCGTTCTACAACACGTACACAACCTGTTTACACACTTTAACGCTGCCATGAGCTTGCTTAATCAAGAGGGTTACTATGGGGGACTAATTGAGATATGTCAGTGTTGTCAGGGCTCATCATTTTCTAATTACAATAGCCTGTTCAAGACTAGAGATAGGATGATGTTAAAGTACGTCAGTCCGCCTGTTATTCTGTCAGCCTGATCACCCAGAAACCAGACATGATTAAGCAGAAAGAAAAAAGAGGGAGCGCAAAGAGTAAGAGATACAACTGTCTGAGCATTGTTGAAAATTACTGTAATAACGGGTGATTTTTTAAGACGTATAGGATTTGATTTTCAAAAAAAAACACAAAAAAATTGAAAAAACGATTAAATCTTTATTTGAGTTGGTAGAACGGTCGATATAATTTAATGTTTAAAGATTATTTCATGTAAATGTTGGCCGCGGCTCCGTTTTAGATGGCCCATGCGCAAGGTCCAATTTTGGCACACTCTCTCCAACATAATATCGGCCGGTATCTCACGAATAAATATTGGCTTCCAGTGCGTCAATCGTTGCTGGTTTATCCCTGTAGACATTAGCCTTAACATGGCTCCACAAGAAATAGTCCAACGGCGTTAAATCACACGAACTAGGCGGCCAATTGACGGGCCCCAAACGTGAGATAAACTGTTCACCGAACTCGCCTCTCAATAGGGCCATTGTTTCGTGTGCGATGTGGCATGTGGCACGGTCTTGTTGGAACCACATGTCAGCCAAGACCAGCTCTTCCATTTTGGGCAAAAAAAAGTTTGTTATCATCGGACGGTAGCGCTCGCCATTCACAGTTACGTTCCGGCCATTGTCGTCTTTGAAGAAGTACGGCCCGATGATGCCACCGGCCCATAATCCACACCAAACAGTGATTTTTTCGGGATGCATTGGTAGCTCTTGCAATGCTTCTGGCTGGTCTTCACTCCAGATGCGGCAATTTTGCTTGTTAACGTACCCATTCAACCAGAAATGAGCTTCGTCGCTGAACACAATTTTTCGATAAAAATGTGGATCTTCCTCCAACTTTGCCAGCGCCCATTCACCAAATTGGAAACGTTGTGGGAGGTCGTGTGGCTTCAATTCTTGCACCAGCTGCATCTTATAAGGTTTTACACCCAAATCCTGTCGCACGTAGTGGAGTAACAGAGGCCCAATTGCTGCGAACGGCGGCGAATCGACATTTCACGGTCATCACTAACACTGGCGGATACAGCCGCAATATTTTCTTCAGTCCTCACTCTACGTCTGCGTGTTGGTGGTTTAATGTCCAATAATGTAAACTGGGTTCGAAATTTAGTCACAAGCTTCCGAATGGCTCCCTCAGTAGGCCGACCAAATTGCCCATAAATTGGAAGCAGTGCTCAATGCACACTCTTAACCGAGCATGAATTTTGATAGTAAAATTCGATAATTTGCAAGCGTTGTTCGTTCGTAAGTCGATTCATGGTTAAATTATAGACCAAACTGAAAAAGTTTGACAATGACACAATGCCAAAAAGATACTAGCAAAAAAATCACCCATTAATTTTGAAACATATTCGTATGAAGTCAATACTCTCGCTGCTGGGGATGCGAAAATCAATCAGTTGGATTTTTCATGTGTTTGTCTGCAGTTCTGGCGGAATAGTTAGTAATTTACAAGTTACCAATGCATGCGAATGTTCCTAGGCCGGCAGGGGTGTTACGTATCTTGAAAAGTGACATTATGCTGTTCTTTGTGACATTAAATTGGCTTATCAAAATTCTTTTTTGGAATTGTTTGGGACATTCCCAAAAAACGATAATTTCATCAAGCTCTTGTGGACTTCTGTACTAAACTGTCACGATCAGCTGTTACGAATTACGTCGCGCCACGCCGCCTTTAGGCTGTGCCGGTGAATCCCCGAAATAAGAAAACCAATTGCAATGAGGAACTGTTGGCCTGAGGGAACCACAGACTACTATTTACGGGGTGCGGCAGAGAGGATGGACGGTTTTAAAAAAAATCATAAAATAGTTAATTTTTGCTCGAAAACAAATTTATTGATGGAATCAGGTTCACAAGGAAATAGCATTTGAGACAGTCACGTGTGGAGAATCACATCAGGCATGTGGTGGCCGAAATCGTTGATGCAGTGCTGGAGGCGTTCTTGGAAGTTCGCGTAGACTCTCTACAACATCGCTCTCTTAACTTGGGCGACTTCCACGCGAATTTCGCCCTTCAATTCGTCCAGAGTTCGGGGCTTGTTCGCGTATACTCTAGCCTTGAGGTGTCCCCATAAGAAAAAATCGCATATGGATAAATCTGGGGACCAAGGAGGCCAATGAACATCGCCAAACCTGGAAATAAGGCGACCAGGGAAGAGAGGGCGAATAACGTCCATGGATGCTCGGGCTGTGTGGGCGGTCGCCCCATCCTGCTGAAACCACACACGTCGGATTGGAACACGTCGCCGTCGTAATTCAGGGAGAAAGAAGTTGGTGATCATGTCGACGTAGCGCTCTGAGTTCACGGTAACATCACGACCATTACCGCACCCTGTATACAGGGTGACTTTGAAGTTGAGTCATTAATTTTCAGATAATGATTGTAGAAGGAAGATAAACCCTGTGAGGTCTTAAGTCACCTGATTCACGAGCCTGTTGTACTACATTAACAAAGGCACGAGGTGTTGGTTGCATTCGATTGGGAAACCGATCCGCATAAACATGTGCCATTTTTTATTTCGTTTGAGCCACGCAGCAAACACCACTATTCACTCACGCGTTAGCGACTGACACAGACTGAATAAAAACATCGTGATCAGCGTTTCAAATTCTTTCGCTTTTTTGTTTCCGATGCGATGAACCGATAAGGCGGATTATATCCGTTGTTGCCAAACACGAGCACATAATATTATTATTGAGACAGGGCGGTACTCAAACTTCTAAAGGGCTATAACTTTGTTAGTTTAATTTTACCACAAAAATGTTGAAGGAAAAAAACATTTCTTTTGATCAGATCTACTCACTGTTAAAATAAATGACTCAACTTCGAAGTCACCCTGTATATGTGGCCTTGCTGCAGGAAACATTACTTAATCCGGGAGATCGTCTAACTTACCCGAATTACGATGTTATCCGAGCTGATAGATTGACTGGACGGGGTAGCG